TATATCTTTCTGTTGAAAAATGTGAATGTCTTTCATAAACCATAATTGCATATATGTAGCATAAATATTGTTTCTTTATTGGATTTTTTTTGCAGAAGTAAAGCCTCTTGTTTAAATGGACTTGCGTTTGAACTGTGAAAATTTAATCGTGATAGTTTATTGGTTCATCTCTGGAGAAGCTGAGGCAGAGCTAATTTGCTCCAGCCAGAGCTATTTATATACCATCACTGAGAGCTCCTTTTTCTATTATTAGTGTTATGTGTACTAAAAAAAGGAATGCTAAAGGAAACTTCGGATTTCTTTTTATTCTGTGCCCTTATTCACTACACTGATATTTTTAGAGGTTATTTCATCTAGCTATCTCTCTTCAGAAAAGGCTTTATCTTTTTCACAGCAGAGGCAGACAAGAACTCAGCTTGAAGCCATTCCTTCCCAAGTCTTCCTTTCTGAGGGGTGAAGGGATCAGAGAGAGTGGAACTTTGTGTGTGAATTGAGCCTCTTTGCCCTTAGCAGCTTCCTGATCAGTGCATCTGCTTCATGGAGGGGAAAGAGGAGCATGAGTTTAACCAAGAAAAGATTTGAAAATGTACGAGACCTTATTTTTGAGTTTTTCTATGCAGAAGGAAATATCAGTGTTAGATGTTTGTCCTCACTTCTGTTTTGCTTCCAGAGTCCATTATTCTGCTTAGCTTTCCTTTTAGAAGAGTGCTTTGCTAAACAGGGCCGGCAGGTAATCATTTCTAATTGGAAATATCTGCTAAATTGGACAAGTGGAGAAGGGAATGACAGCAGACGGGCTGTTCTAACAGCTAGAATTTGTGAGCTGAAGCTTGGAGGACAAACTTAAGTTCTAAAAGAGCAGCAGACACACAACTTCAGCGTTCTTAACAGAGTTAGGTTGGTCGATTTGCAGCCAGTTTTAGTTGAATCTCTCGAAATCATCAAATTGTAGGCCTGGATGTGGGGCCTCAGCAGGGTCAGCATGTTGTTTTGCCGCTGAGACAAAGTGCTGAGTCTGCATGGTTCAGTTTGCTAAGTCATGGACGGCAGTAAATTGCATTTAGTACTGTTCTCCTCGAGTGTGTGTGTGAATACGTACGTACACACAGTGTCATCCATTCATCCATTCGTATTTTCGTTGAAGCATTACATTACTTGTGTTTCTCTTGAGAGAAACTAGGAGATCATAGTAATATGCGAAGTACTGTTTTCCTCTTATCCTATAACATGAAACAATATGTTTCAAAAGACAAGAAAGTCTTATTCACCTAAGACTTTCAAAAAGTGAATTATGCACTTTTTGAATTTAGAGGAGAGGTAGTATAGCAGTTAAGTTTCATGACTGCAAATCAACTTTAAAGAGCCCCTATGAAGGATAATGCTTAACATTATTCAACTTCTTTTCCATTAACATCTTGAACTATGGTGTAAAGTTTTGTATTTTTATTCTAGAAATATAGCTGACAGTAGCATTCAGGTATGTAGTTCAGTTTATTTCTAGTGAAAGTCTTTTAAAACTAAGTTAAATACAGCACAGAGGACATAGAAAATCAATAATATTTCATTTCTTTTAAGTAAGATCTTTCTATATACATTTGCTTGGGCTGCTTATAAATTTTTTCCTGTACTGAAGTATTTTATAATAAATGTCAGTTATAGATTTAACTGTAGCAAAAAAATAGTGCAAGTTCTGAAGTACCTTTAATATATCAGGTTAAAAAAAACTGCTTAGCTAAGTATTAGTATAGGATAGTAGTGCAGTATAAAAAAGTTATTTTAAAAATGCAGTGATATCAGTTGGAGAGCATGGGGACCTTGGTACTTGGAATATTACAGAATTCAGTATATTGTACTTTAAGACACTTAAAGCTTCTTTGCTTATTGATTTTCCTGTTATAACCCTTCACACAGAGTAGAGCTACTAAACGTATTTGCTGGTGAATGTGAACTTGATTTTAATCTAATTACTCTCATACTAGTGATATATGAGGTTTAGTTGCCTTATTATTATCTCTTTCTTTGGTCCTGGGGATTGAACTCAGGACCTTGTGCCTGTGAGGCAGGCAGCGGCACCACTGAGCTAAATCCCCAGCCCATTATTATCTTTATAGTCTAAAGATTTCCATCCTAATATAGCTACAGTTCAAACTGAATCCTGATGGCATTACCAAGTAATTGATAGGATTGGTTAAAGCTGATTTATTAAAGTAGTAGAAATTTAACATTGGGCAAATTCATTTTTTGATAACCATGTAAGCATCAGTAAGTTTAAAAGGAAACATTTTCTCTTTTTTCAGAAATAGAGAACTTAATTAAGTGCAAATTAAGTACTTATCAGGTTGTTCTTCTTCTAAATGTGACCACATTGGTGTTTAATGTGGCAGCCAAACTAGATAGAACAATATTTTAATTTGGTTTTTGCCATTGAGATATATGGAGAAAACTTTGCTTCATTAATATATGCTTAAGGATAAATGAAGGTTGGGTATGTTTTTGTTATTAGGGAGAAGGTGTGGAGGTCTATAGAAAGCATTTTCTGGCTATCAGATTTGTTTTTGCTAATTAGAGGTTGATGAATTTGAGAGTAAGGGAGAATTGTGTAGACAGATATAGGATAAGACTTTAATGAATAACGTACATGAGGGAAAATCAATATTTGATATCTAAATGAAAATATGTAGCTTTTAAAAAATAAAGAATATTTAAATTAGTGACCTAGATACATAGTAGTAGTTGAAAATACATAAAGGAAACACAAGAATTCTATGCTTTATTAACACTGGTGTGGTGCTAAAACATTTTGAATTATTCTAACTGCTGTGAAAACTGTTAATTTATTGATTCCATTTTTTATATTTCATCTTCTGAAGGAGTATTGGAATATTGGAAAATTGAAATATTAACTTAAAGAGGAGCCAGAAGTCTTTTTTTTTGGTTTTCTTTTTTTTTTTGGTACCAAGGATTGAACTCAGGTCCTTGCACTTGCAAGGCAGGCGGCGGAATCACTGAGCTAAATCCCCGGCCAGGAAGTCTTTTTATATCTAAGAAAATATTCCTGTAACAGCTTATTTTTTCCATTTCTGAACATGATGACCCTTGCCTCCTTTATTTCTCTATACTTTTTTAATGACAAAAGGGAAAGTCTTATCACATGTAATACTTACTGGTGCTTGGTTTAAGTATGACAATTGTGGATGTTAACTTTTTGAATATAAAAAGAACCAATTAATTTTAGTGATCTAACATTTCATTATTCTGATGTACTGAGAATTAATCTTGTAAACTATGCCAAAGTTTAATAATGACTATTTGGAAAAAAATTTAGGCGAGAATATAAAATATATACTGTATTGTGCTGAAAACAGTATTTGTGGTCATAAGTAGATTTATTAATAATTTGTAAACCTGGAAGGAATTGTCCTTGTCTTAACCTTTACTGAATTTGAACAAAAATGGAGTCAGTCATCTGTGCGTTTGGTGGGAAAAAGTTACTCAGGACCCAGTGCGGTATCAGAGTATCTAACCCTTACTTTAGGGAGAAAAACAGAAGCTGCTTTTGTGGCTCTTGAAGTTGGAGAAGTGTCGTTTCCTGCTGCCTCCACTCTATACGCTGTTCGCCCTTGGCTGTTGGTTTATCTTTAGAGCTTATGTGTTTCACCTGTCGATGGAGGAGGTTAATGCAAATAGGTTCGTTCTGCTGCAGATGTCCTTGGGCAGGTTTTCGTTTTAACACCCTTTTAAAGGCCTTATGAAGAGAAGAAAGTAAAATTTTAGTTTAAATAACTGCCAACTTAACATTTGTTTGTAACTTTATTAAACTGCCACTTACATAGGACATTTTATACTTATAAAACATATTTTATTGTATTTTCTGTTACTGGATATATATTACTTTTCAGAGTAGGACAATTGTTAGTTTAGTTGATGTATTAAGGGAATCATTAATTTACCTTTATGTGACTTAAAGGAAATATATTTTGGGCTGGGAATGTAGCTTAGAGGTAGGGTACTTGTCTGGCATTTGCAAGACCCTGGATTTGATCCTCCGTACTGGGAGGAAAAGGAAATTCATTTTTAAGCTACCACTTAATGTGCAACGGACATACCAATATCTGACACATTTTTCTTGGTACTGGGAGAAGACAGAGCTCCTGCCTTCAAGGAGTTTTTCCATTCTGGTAGTTAATAGTAGGCAAGATTCATCTAAGCAAATAAATGAGACAGTTTCAGATTGTGGTAAATCTAGTGGAAAAGACCAAACTAGGTAATGGAGGTGTTGGAGGGAGGTAGGGAGGCTGGGGATGGGTAGAGTTATAGAGGTGTATTAGTGGGTACTTAACGAAGTAAGATCTCCTAAGAATGTGCCAGAAGAGGCCAGGAATTGATGCAGGGAAGCCAGGGGAAGCAAGTGCAAAGGTACAAACACTAGCATGGCTGAAAAGAAGACAGATGTGGCTGGTGGCTGGGAGTGGAGGAGTGACAGTCGCTGGACTGGGAGTTTGACTGGGGTACATCATATGTGCCCTTAGAGTCGAGGAATGGCTGTTTTAAAGTTATAGGAGGATGTCATCCGAGGAGAAGCAGGATGCTCTTGAATTTATGCTTTTGAAAGACCATTCTGGCCTCTGTGTGTAGCACAGATTGTAGCAGGCAGAAGAGTACACAAAGAAATACTTAAAAATTTACTTCTGTGTCCAGGGGAGAAGTTGATGGCTACTTAGACTAGAGTGGTAGTTCTAGAGGTTCTAAGGTTAAAGTGGATTTGTGATGGATACACCATAGCCCCAGAGCAAGAAATGGCCTGGTCTTCTGCCTTTACCTAAATCCTGTGGTTTCTGATAGCTGTTGCAGCTTTGAATCTCACTACCTGTGGCAAATGAGGGCACGTGGATGAGACAGTCCATGGCACAGGCTTCATCCCAGTCAGATTTTGCATTATTAAATCTGATAAATTGCAGTATCTATTTAATTTCTTTCCAATGTGACATTTTATATTGCAGGAAATGTTTTCATATTTGTCTGACCAACTAAAGAAATTGTCGGAAGCCTACTGTGAAAGACTGTTGCAGACACCTCACAATCCCATATCATTAGGTAATTTTTTTTTTTTTTTGGTACTGGGGATCGAACTCGGGTCCTTGTGGTTGCAAGACAGGCGGTGGAATCACTGCACTAAATCCCCAGCCCCATTAGGTAATTTTTAACCTAAAAAAAGGAAATTAGTACTTGTGATCTATTCTTAGGAGAAAGTTGATATTTATAGGAAAAAGGAAACTTTTTGATTATAATATTTATAAATTCATTTTAATATTAATAAGTATATTGAACAAATTTGGTTGGCCTTTAGAAGTATTTTAATATATTTCCAAGATACCTATCCACTAAAACATCAGACTCATTTAGTAAATTAACTATTGCTTCTAAGTAGCTTGGTCTCTAGTAAGAACTCAGTACAGTGGACCCTTGACTTGATCAGTTCCTGAGGGCTGGTTGTAATTCAAGTTGGTTGTAAGTCAATCCAGCTGAGATCTGGATGTTTACCTGGGTACACGCTATGGACAATAAGAGGCAGATGAATCTTCCATTAACCTAATTAACCCAAGTTGTTCCTGTCTCAGGCCGGTTGTAACCTGAGGGTCCACTGTAGTCAGAACTTTTTCCAGTTAACAAAGTACCAACAGGCCAGATATTAAAACTCTTTCTACATTGTTTTAAATGTTGTTATTGCTTATTTTCTTTAGCTTCTGCATTTTAAAGAAGTCTGTATTTATTATAATTTCATTTGTTTGACTATGTATTTCTGTCCTGTAGTATAAGGGCTGCTTAAAAATGATAAAGTGAATATTGACCTTAATACATTTAACTTAAAAGCTTCATAATTACCCCCTTTTAATTTGGAATATGTATAGTGTAATATGTTTCAAATTTCTCATACATCTGAGGAAAATAAGAAAAGTGAATCATTAGTAACTGACGCCTTTCAGCAATGGGTTTCTATGGTAAATCATTTGGGTACCGACATCTAATACAAACCACCCCAATCCTTTGCTGTTATGTGGAAGGTGATAGTGGGTAGAGTATCAGTTCTTCCGGGTACTCTCCTCTCACCTCCTTTTCCTTGTCTGTAAAGTAGAGGTAGTGATCTCTCAATGCAGATTTATTAAAAGATTGCTTGATATTATGTCTGCCAAGTGTCTGGCATGGTAAGTCAGTCTTCAGTAAACAGTAGTATAGCAGTGATGGTGTGTATGGAACACACTTGGCGTGATCATTCCATTTTTGTGTGCAGAAGCTGATTTTACTTTGTGTTACATATACTGAGATATATCCCAACTTCTCATTTTATAAGTTCTTAAAACTTGATTTAATTCAAGTAAATAGCCACGTTGAGCATGTCATTTTCCGTCTGTTTAGCTGGAAACATTGACTTTCTGGGGGGCTGGTTATAAGGAATTTTGTTCCTTATTCTAAATATGTTAATTTATATGAAAATACATTTGATATGCAAGCAAATTCCTGCTGTAATTAAGTACATTAAAATGGTATTACTCCACTTGACGGTGAATTAAAAGTACAGTCATTTCTCCATCAAGGTTTGTTTTGAGTGATTTTTGTGCTGGTAAACTGAAACTTCTTTTGGAATATTTTTTTCTTTTTCAGCTGTGACACTTAAGACACTAGATGCACAGCATGACAAAGCTGTCACTCAGCTTGGCTCAATGCTTTTTACCAGACAGGTTTCTGGTGCCAGGTGAGTATGTTTAAAAGAGAGTCGGGTCAGTTGGCTTTTCCAAGTTAGCTCTAGTAAAGTACCTTTCCTCAACAGTTGTCCCCCAAGTGTCTAACAGTTCAGGGTGTGGTGAGGTGGAGAATCTGTAAGGCTATTATCTGTCTTCCAGTACCTGCAATAGTCACAGAAAGATACGAATCTTATTTTTTTAATAGATATGTAGAAACAAAGTTTCCTTGGCTCTCTGTACAGGTTTTAGTCTTTATTTCCTTTGTTAGATGATCTTCAGCGATATGTTATGGAATTAGAAATAAATTGTGTCCCTTACTAAATTCAAGTGGAAAAGTTGTTAAGGAAATGCCTGCTTCCTAAATTAAAAGGGTGCTGTAATTCTTAACTATTGCTTTAGAAACGTACTTTTCCCTCTTTTATACTCATGGTATGAAAATCAGTGTTATTTTACATTGTCTATTTGATGAGATAGAGAAAAATAACTTGAAATCCTTTTCTTCACATACTTCTATAAAGGATTTCACTCTACCAGGGTAGAAACTTCAGCTTAAAGGACAGCTTTTCAGAAGAAGAAAAATCTTAGGTTAATTCACTTTTTATCTCAATGAATTCTTTATATGGTATAGTTTTGACATTTCCAAAATGGTTTTCCTGATTTTGCTTTTAGTATTGCCACTATTTATGTTTAGGTTGATCTTAATTGACTTCTTTTTTAAAAAAAAAAAAAGTAAAAGATTTGAAATGTAAATATGCCCTGAAATCCAGCTTGGGAAATGCATGTGCCAGTGCAGAATGCTGCAGTTTGCTGGCCACCACTCTGCTGTGCACAGTGACGTATTTTCTTTTTTTTGGGTACCGGGGATCGAACTCAGGACCTTGCACTTGCAAGGCAGGCTGCGGAACCACTGAGCTAAATCCCCGGCCCAGTGTATTTTCTTTTGGGTGTTTGCTCTAAAACCTTCTGTTACACAGCACTGATCAGATACTTGGAATTTAACCTGGTGATTGAGGTGACACAGGGCAATCAATCAAATCCAAGTGATTTGACTTAAAGCGTACATCTATATAAAGTCTGGTTCCAGATATGGCACAAAAACAAGTAATTTTCTTTTTCCTTTTTTGGACACGTGAAAATGTTTGAGATTCCTAGTGCTTGGTGCTTTTTCCTAGAAAATAAATAAATGATAATCATCAGGCAGGACTTTTCCACATAAAAGAGTAGCGTATTGTATAATTTCATTTTAAGGCTGATGCAGTCTGTTTGCGTAGGCCATGATTTATTGCTGTTTTTAAACTTCTTAGTAAGTGGGTGTACGGCTTAGTAGTGGATATATTTTATCTATGGGTGACATTCTGTTAATATCACCAGACATACTAAGTTGATAAATCTTCTCCCTTCCAGGGTTGTGCCTCTTGGGTTTGTGCAAACTATGAGTGGCCACACTTTTAGAGGCTTCATGTCCCATGCAAACGACTACCCCTGTGCTTACCTCAACGCTGCAGCAGCTATCGGAATGAAGACGCAGGATGTAGACTTGTTCATAAAGAGACTTGACAAGTGTTTAAAGACAGTAAGAAAAGAACAAAATAAAGAGAGTGACGTACCTGGAGTTGACAAAAACAATAAAACTGAAAATGTGGATATTGAAGAAATGGCTTTAAAACTAGATAATGTGCTTCTTGACACATACCAAGATACTTCTTCATGACCTGTGAAGGACTTCCTTTTGTAATTTGAAAAAAATGATGCAGCTACAGTACAGGCAGGCACTTTTAAGGTAGGACTTGAGATTGTTGAATTGAGAATTTTGTGGAGACTATTTAATCGAAGTAGGCTGTGGTCTGAGCCCTTGATGATTGTTATGTGTTTTAGTGTTGGACTCCCTAAATCCTTATGACCCGTAACGAGTTATAATATACAGTTAGATTTTCTTCTGATTGTGAGAATATTTGTCAACTAAGCACCATGAGTCAAATAATTCATACTAATACAATGACTGTAAATTTACCCCTAATTCTCTTTGTGCAGTGCTTCTTCCTAACCATTTCCCAACATTCACAAATTACTTATGTTCCTGAGCACACAGAATTTGGAAAGATCTCTGATGCTGCTAATTATTGGATATTTCCTTATATGTCACATTATGTCTATAGAGAGAACATTCCCCGGGGAAGCAGAGTCATGGTATAAACTTTAATTTAGGCTAAGGAGCAATAGTTCCCAGCTGGGGATAATTTGCTTGTGTCTCAGTAAGACCTAGGGAAGTTTTTGGTTGTCACAGCTAGGGGGATGTAATTGATATTTGGTGGGCAGAGGTCAGGGGTGCTATTCAGCACCCTACAGTGCACAAGACACGCTTCCATAGTATAAAAGTATCCATCCCTGCATGTGTCGGTATGCTGAGATTGAGAAACACCGCTCAGAATTAAATGAACTCCTCACATACAGAGAAGTTTTCCATCGCAGCTTTAGTTATTCAGTAGCACAGTCATGTCAACAATGGACAGGTGAAATGGTGGTCCCATGAGATTCTATCATTAGTGACATCATGGCTATCTTGGTTTGGGTAAGTACATGCTGTGCTGTTCAGAGGTGCTGAAATCAGCTAACCTGTGTTTCTCAGACCACGTCCCTGTCATTAAGTGACAAGTGGCTATACTTGAAAGAAGATATAGCTCTATAAATGTCATCCAACTATGCTGCATAGAGAATCTTTAGTGATAATTGGTATCGCTAGTTCTCAAAAGGTCATATGTTGTTTTCTATGGCACTTACACACTTTTCCACTTGGGCAAGTGAAAACTGTTCCACTTACTGTGTTTGCCTTAAGCAGCCTTTGTAGATTGATTAGTTTGCACAGGTGTTGTTCATAGCCACCAAGACTGGCTGACAGGGGTGGTTTTTTTTAACATTTTTGCTGGGGAGGTGAAAATGGTGCAGATGATAAATAGGTGTATTCCTCTCTGCCCATAAGCTCTTTTTCTGAGCAAAATTCTAGACTTCTGGGGTCTAACAGTGATTTTTGTTAATTTTAAGAGATGGTCTAGTATCTCATAGCTTGAGGAGTTAACGAAGTCTCCAAAATGCAACACTATGCCAAGGGTGTATCCCATAATGTGCTCAGTGGAGTAAACTAAAAGGGATTCATGGGGTCTGGGGGCCAGTGGATAAGAACAAATAATTTTGGAAAGTGCTTTTGCAGATCTGCTTATAGCATATTAAAAACTACTGAGAATTCCTTTAGTAAAGACTAATCCAGTTTGAATATATCCTTATCCAAAGAGGAACCCATTTTTAAAAGATGAAATATTTAACTCATCTTGAATATACTTTGATAAACACTGCAATGACGGATGCTGTGTTTGACTTCTGGATTGAATTTCCTTACTGATTTAGCAGTGTAAACTATACAAGAAAGCTATTTTCTGGGGTGCCGGTGACATTGTGCATTGTCTTAGACCGTTTGTAAACATGAGCTCAGACAGATGTATTTCCTCCTGAGAAGGGAGTGAATGTGTTAGACTACTCTAGACACTGGTTCAGCAACCTTGGAAATCAAAACTGAGTTGAACTAAAGTATTTAATAAATACTTATTTTTAAATAAGTTAGTTTAAAATGTATTATCTCCACAGTCCAAACATTTAAACATTAAAAATTGCCACAGTCACTCAATTCACATGAGTAAATCCTGGATTAAAAAGTTGTATGATGTTTTCTGTGTGAATTTGGGGCCACTCTGTAGACCCAGGGTAGCCTAAAAGGTGCAGCTGAACCCCTAGAGTCCAAGACGGGAAGGGAATGCTCTTGGAGCTGTAAATGCTGGCAGCTCAGCTTACTCTGGATGTGAGCCACAAGTTGTCCACATTGTGTCATCGTCACTTAGCTTGACAAAGGCCAGAGCCAGAAGACTAGCAAGTGCCTCCTACTCTGAAATGTGTCAGCAGTTCTCGGGCTGTAGCTGCTGTGTAAATAGTGATTCTGGTGGAAGGTAAATGACATAAAACCACATGTGAGTGAGGGGCATGTTATAACACTGCTCCCCATGCAAAAACTCAGTTGAAGTTTTTGTGATTAACCCTTTCTTTTCCTGTGGTTTTGAAATTCTAGCTCTGTTGTGCCTGGCTTCAAGTTTGGTCCTGAGGTCAGAGAATTTGCAGTTTTCAAAGGGATGTTGCAGCTTGTGAACATTCAGGCTTTTCTTTGCCCCCACTCCAGTGTCATTTTCCCTCACTCTCTCCCATTTCCACATACAGTGCAAGTACTAAAGAATGTGAACCTAAGGTTGTTCACCATAAATGGCCAGTACTGCTTGGTAGGCCCCTGATGGGTCTCTTACCTGGAACTGGGGCAGGGCCAATGGGGGACACACTTCCATTCCTCACTTAGGATGATCTGTTTCTGTGCTTTAACTGTTTCTATTAATGAGGCTATTGGGAAAGATTTTCAGATTTCGTTTTTAAGGTCATTGCACTGCAATAGTCTGCCTAGACAATAAAATTTGAATAACATCAAACACTCTTGGTCAGCACACGGCATGTTACTTATTCGCGCAGCAGGGAGAGATGGTCTAAATCAGACTGTTTGGCTCGCAGGTCCTCTGCTGATGAAGTCTCACTCTGTCAGGGAATGATAGATGCTACCAGCCTTTGGAACCCAATGTCCAACTGTAAATGCTTCCATGTAGCATTTGTGTTAGTTGGAATAAGTTATAGAATGTGAATTACTGGATACAATTCTGTTTAGCCAATAGGGACTTGATATACAGAATAATAAATTTGAATATAAATTAGGTTTTTTTCTAACAGCTTGACCCAGTATTTAATTTTGCTGTTTGTTTCTTTAACCACCACCCCATAATAAAGGGGATGGAAGGGGACTGGAGCTATGGTGGAGTCTTGCCAGAAGGCCTAATGGGGATGGAAGGTGGAGGCCATTTTCAAAGCAGTTTTCACGGGAAAAGGGAGGCAGGAAGTCCTCTTCCCCCACCTCAGTGGAGGAAGTGAGATGCCTCTGGGGGAGGAGTCTCTGGTGATGGGTCTCCTGTGTCACGTTAAATACAGGAGGCTTTATATATTTTATTCACTTACTGAGACAGGGTCTTGCCAGGCAGTTCAGGCTGTCCTTGAACTCACCGTGTAGCCCAGGCAGCAATCCCGACTCAGCCTCCCAAGTGCTGGGATTATAGGCCTGCGCCACCACACCCGGCCAGTAGAGGAGCCTTTAGGAGGAACTTGGAGCCCCTGGCCGGATAAAAAGCTGAGAGGGAGAGTTGTTCCTCACTCCTGTCTCCAGAACACTTGATCATGGGTAATAAACGGGTCCTTTATGCCATTAGAGCAAAAATGCATTCAGCAGGAAAGCTAGCAAAAGGAAACCCCGCTCACCTGGAGACGTGGTTGTCAGGAGTCCTTTGGTCTCCACCGCTGTGCTGAAAGGTGAAGCCCTCCCGGGAAGAACAGAGCCCCAGCACAGGGCAGGGCTGCTCGGGAACAGCACTGAGGCAGCGCTTGAAGGCTGGAGTCACCCGTGGGTGAGTGGCAGGGGCAGGGGCAGGGCCAGGTCTGAGGGAAGTGGACCTTTTGCAAGACAAAAGTTGGCGCAGAAGATATTTTCAGGGCCTGGGGACGGCCTTGCTTTCATTGCCCTGTAGAATGCATCCATTTCTCTTTGTTCCCTCGTTGACATGCTACTTGCTGTTCATTGCCCACAGCCTGGTGACCCCAGGCTTCCTGGGAGGACCAGCCAGGCTAGGGGCGGGCAGGAGCCTTTCATGGTAACCGTTGCTGCCTTCTTGAAGGCCAGTAAACATGGTCGTCAGTTTTTATCTACTAGTTTGGAAGCAAATGGACCTTTTAACACTGGGGAACTGTGCATTTTTTGGTTCACATTTATGATCATTGTCTATTTTCTATTTATTCCCATCTATTTGCTATAAGTATACTTTGAGGCCAACTCAGTTTATGCTGTTCCCAGAGGTGGGGAGAGAAAACCAAAAACAACCAAAAATTTAAAAAGGGAAAAAAGATACAAGCCCTAACCAGGCAGCTTCCAGTGCCATCACAAGCCCAGTGAGAGCTTCGGGCGTGAGAGTGAGGCATGCGGGGGCAGCAGGTGCAGGGCCGCGTGCCACTTGCTGCCTTTTTCTTTTTTTAAGCGTGTGTTTATAATCAGTAAATGGCTGTGGACACTTAAATGGTTGTGTAATGCCCATGGAGAGTGGATGCCATTATAGCTTGAACCCATGTTGCCGCGCAGATGGTAGAAACAAACATCCAATTCTGCACAGTTTTGTTGGTCTCACTTTTAACAGATAGCTGAGTGTCAGGCACCCTCAGAGCCATTGTGGGGCGAGGGGAGGAGGGAGTGGAGAGCCAGGGCTGCCGTGGCTTCCAGGCTGGCTTTTGTGCAGAGCCCGAGGCTCCCCTGTAGGTGGGAGGGGGTTCGCTGCACCACAGACCCCACCTGGAGTTACAGGGAGCACTTCCCAACGTCCCTTCATGTGATCAAAATGTTCTGCACATGTGGAGCTCTCAGGAGCTAATGCCTCTCACCCTACTGCAAAGCGACCCCAACCCTTACCACACAGAACCCGGAAACACGCTGGGGGCTCACGGTGCAGCCCACGCCCTCCGATTGCTGCCTTTTTGGGGCCCAGCTCCACTACACTTTGTGGGACCTTAGCAAATATTGGTTGAACAAACAGTTGACTAAATTTGTTCATGCTGTTGAAATAACCAATAAGGTTTAAGGTGATCTTAGAATGGAAATATTTGTCTTAGCAGGTTTGAAGTAATAGAAATGAATCTCTGTGATGTTTGGGGTCTTGGATGGCTTGGCTGCGTCACTGCCAGCATAAGCAGGGCCTGTGTCTTGGTTTTCCATTGCTGTCACAGAATACCCGGGACTGATCGGCAGAAAAAGAGCTGATTCACAGAGCTGGAGCAGGAGATGGTCAAGAGCCCAGAGGCAGCACCTGTCCGGCTTCTGGTGAGGGCCCCATGCTGCTTTGATCC